AATTGCATACTCGTCGCCAGAAAATTGATATTGTATATCTACACAAAATTGTACACTCATTCATTGACTGTCCCGATTTAGTGACTCAACTGAATTTTAACACCAATTATACAGTGTGAGTCACGTTAAAGTGTACATATGAAAATAGATGAAACTAGACCTATTTTTATCGACAAAAAAGAGGTCAAAAAATTTTTGAGATTTTTTTTTATTTTTTTATAGAATTTTTTTTCTTCCAATTACTTATTGTAAAGAAAACGTAATAACTTTTAAACTAAGCGGTATATCCTGATAAAATAAAAACATAAATAATGCTAAATAACAGGCGATACTAAAAAAATACATACAAAACACAAAAAATGCCAACAAGTAATAACAAATGATACTTTTTGAAAAAAATCTGCTTAAAAATTCGTGTTTTTTTTTGGTTATTTGATAAATTTCTCCAAAAAATGCCCCTATAACAGGTAGTTTTTATTGTTGTGTATTATTCTCTATCGTATTATCTTTGTAAAACCAAAAATTGCATGTCTCTATCCTTATCACAACATTTGCTATGATAGTTTGAACAAAGGCCTACCACAACATTATTCTCCTCTACAGGTAGGGACAATTTTAATTTTCACTAAAATCCTTATTTTACTTCGAAATCTTTTGTTTTTACTTAAAATCTAACTTGTCTTTATCAAAATTACAAATCTAGAGCCATTTTCAGTTTCGTTGTTAACGAAGCGTTGCATGGCGCGCCCGGAGAGGCTTAGTTCAAACGATCATAGCAAATGTTGTGATAGGGATAGAGACATGCAATTTTTGGTTTTACAAAGGTAATACAATAGAGAATAATACAAAACAATAAAAACTACCTGTTATAGGGGCATTTTTCGGAGAAATTTATCAAATAACCAAAAAAACACGAATTTTTAAGCAGTTTTTTTTTCAAAAAGTATCATTTTTTATTATTTGTTGGCATTTTTTGTGTATTGTATGTATTTTTTTAGTATCGCCTGTTATTTAGCATTATTACTGTTTTTATTTTATCAGGATATACTGCTTAGTTTAAAAGTTATTACGTTTTCTTTACAATAAGTAATTGGTAGAAAAAAATTTCTATAAAAAATTTAAAAAAAATCTCAAAAAAATTTTGACCACTTTTTTGTCGATAAAAATAGGTCTAGTTTCATCTATTTTCATATGTACACTTTAACGTGACTCACACTGTAGAAGTAGACGTTCTAAACTGTTCCCACTAGAAGTTTACAAAAATAACACCTCTTTTTACAATCCCCTGGTTAGGATGCGCAGACTTTATAATGACATGGCGTTAGAGAATCCGGAATTTGATATATTTCAACAAAAATTACACTCGTTTCGCAGAAGCATTGACACAGTTTTAAATATAAATATTGATAATAATACAAAAAATAATTGATAACTTTTTCCTTTTTTCTTTTTTAACACAGTTTATAGGGTTGTGTACTTGAGCATTTTGTATGTGTTTATTAATATGATCAAACGAACTTACCAAGTGAAGTTCGATCTAAATTATCCTGTTTTCGCCGAAGAGATTTAAGGTCCCTCCCAACCCGAAGATTTCTATATCTTCTTCCCTGGAGGTAAACGTCAATGTCATCTCTTCTCTAAATATAATGAGACCGCTCGGACACCGAGCCCACAGCGTGGTAGGGGTGGGGTTGCCCGCTCTTTTGTTTTTTACTACTACTGCGCTGAATATTGTGTGCGGATTGGCTTGTCGTACAGGGGTACTACACGGTAAAATAAATCTCTTCGGCGAAAACAGGATAATTCAGATCGAACTTCACTTGGTAAGTTCGTTTGATCATCTAATTATAGATGGAAATCCGTGGAACACAATTTTTGACTTAGGGACTTTATTTAGACTAGTTAGAAGGTGAACATAGCAAAAGTCCCCGCCCTTAGCCCTTGAGCCGGCGGGGAGAGGGGGGTTTAAAGGTACTCCTTTTCGGTTTTTCGCTTAATCCTTGGAAACTATGCGTCCTAGTGACATGACTACTATGAACCAAAAAAAACTTATTCAATTTGCTACAGGTGAGATAGTCAAGTTTTTTTATATCTTGTATAGTTTTCGCGGCATCTGCTCTAGAAGGTCTGTAATATTGGAAATTTTAATTTTGTCTTACATATTCCCATCAGGAGAAAATCGACTAAATCAACATTAAGCAAACATTATAGACATGCGGGAGCATGTTAAGCTTATTTCCAGGGAGGGGACTGCACCGTGCGTATATTTAGACGAACCACTTGGAGCCACTTTTGACTCCTCATCACTCAAAAAGTACTGTTCATTAACACTTCAAATTTGGCTCATGTGTTGAGACTTACAAGATAAACATCAGCTTCAAATTTCATAAATATACCTTAAACGGTTCTTTAGGTATTGACGTCTAAAAATCTACATGGCTGACCTATAAGACCAAATTCTAACCACTTTCAGATGACCTTGAAGGTTCAAATTTGGCATCCAGAGGTAGTTATGTAAATACAAAGGAACAAATAAAAAACCAGTAAATTTTAACATTTCACAGGTGATAGATAGATTTTAGTGTCCTAAATGTCGATTTTTGAACGTCAATACCTAAATAACCGTTTGAGGTATATTTATGAAATTTGAAGCTGATGTTTATCTTGCAAGCTTCAACACATGAGCCAAATTTGAAGTGTTAATGCACAGTACTTTTTGAGTGATGAGGAGTCAAAAGTGGCTCCAAGTGGTTCGTCTAAATATACGCACGGTGCAGTCCCCTCCCTGGAACTAGGCTTAACATGTTCCCGCATTTCTATAATGTTTGCTTAATGTTGATTTAGTCGATTTTCTCCTGATGGGAACATGTTAGACAAAATTAAAATTTCCAATATTACAGACCTTCTAGAGCAGATGCCGCGAAAACTATGCAAGATATAGAAAAACTTGTCAGTCTCACCTGTAGCAAATTGAATAAGCTTTTTTTGGTTCATAGTAGCCATGTCACTAGGACGCATAATTTCCGAGGATTAAGCGAAAAACCGAAAAGTGGTACCTTTAAACCCCCCTCTCCCCGCCGGCTCAAGGGCTAAGGGCGGGGACTTTTACTATGTTCACCTCCTAACTAGTCTAAATAAAGTCCCGAGGTCAGAAATTGTGTTCCAGGGATTTCTCTCTACACCGTCGTTAAAGCATTCATTGACTGGACTATTAATCATGGGTCATGTGATAAAACAGTATTAATAGTTGATTAAAATGTTCCTATTCTTTTTTCAAATGTCACTTACAACAGTTACCTAAAATAGGTTACCTTTCTCACAGATATAAAAAAACTGCCTTAGTGACTACGAACGACCAACACCAACACTGTTATGGATCAACTTTTAATACTGTAGAGATATATTTACCTCAAAGGACACAGTTCCCTCCTGCACATCCAGGATCTTGGCAGTCCAGGCGTGCTTGTCGTGGACAGCGTCACGTCTCAGGAACACAGACCCTTGGGTGTCCATCTGGGGCTTGTCGCCTGTGAAATACATCATAATAAAATGATCTGTTTTCTTGAAAGATGGACATTAGTTATGTTTGTGGCATATTATGAGTAGTTTGTGGTAGAAGTGGGTTTCAGTTAAATATCCAGCTGTCAAAAAGGATTTAACTGCGACCTCTTGGTAGCCGGTTAAGGCACCGCTTATTAACCGTGCAGTTATTGTCCCTCTATAGGTACATATCCCTTTTGTAACACTTTCCATTATACATTATAAGATGCAGGCCAAGAACTTTGCTAGGGTGGTGGTTGAAAAATGCAAATTCCATTCATTGACGTACACACGGCCACAGTGTTAACTATCCATTTCCGTTTTTGCTCTCGCTCCTTATCAAATGGTGATTCTTTGCGATAGAACGAGACGTCATGACCGGCAATGGGCAGTTACACTGTTGCCGATAATACGTATTTTGACCAGTAGAAACTTGTGTTAACCTTCTTCTAGAGATAGCAGGTCACATCATTTACATGGCATTTGGGATTTTTTACTGCAATGAAGTCTTCAGCTCTGTCGTAACCAATTTTAGTAACCTATGACTCTACTCTGGATACTGGAGTTTAGTGCTGGGAAAGACTGATAGTCCTGTGACTAACATACTTACCAAGAGTGAACAGGAGTTGGATCATGTCGTTCTCCTCATCGAAGGGCCTGGTGAACCGCACCACACCATTGAAGGGAGTGCCTCGCCGCACGATGGCAGTTGTGGGGTTCTCTTCGTTCACTGATTCATATCTGGCAAGAAAAACAAAAGCATAACATACTTTTTTCTTTTTTTGTATAGCAGCGTCAAATAGTTCGTGACAAGTGGTCAAAAAGTTGACAACAGAACCTATTCCAAGACTTAGGCTGGGTTGCACCATCTTACTTTAACTTTGACAAACGTTAAAAATCTCTCAAACTCCATAAAAAAACACCGGCTACAGTAAAAGTTACGGTCAAAGTTAGGTGGCGCAACTCAGCCTTAGAACTTTAGAACTTTTACTTACTTTGGTTGTCACGTGTCACGAACTACTTGACGCTGACTACCTACTCGTACCTACCCACTTAATTAAGAATCAACAGTTCTCTACGGTTTCCAAATTTAATCAATGGTTAAATAGCATTGTCAATGAATATGGATACCCTGGAGCTCTGATAATCTCTCCAGCCAAGCCATTTTTGGTCTTTGTTGATTAGTGCCACGATAAATTTAAAACGTTTCGTTTTTGCTAGGGTAAGGCAGTATTTAAAATGTAAAAACTACCAAAAAAGGGAACAATTTGCTCATAAAATAAACCTTTTGTTAAAATCAGAAATACTAACAATATTGATCTTTATCTTTTGTTTATATACCTACCATCTACAATGCATTTTATTAGTTCTCTTAAACACGATAATAATAATCAATTACCTCATGGCGGATAATCCAGAAGGTTGCCTTTAAATAAAACGTGATGCGACTAAAAGTGTATTTCTGCATAGAGATTACATTATTAAAATAACAATGTAATGTTATTATGCTAAATTCAGTCTGTACGTGTAAGGTTAACTATAAGTCTTGCATAGCAAAAAATTAAAACAAGATAAATATTTTTTATTGTTTTGTACTAAGTTCTTCAAAGCTACATTCCTCTGCCAGTGCCAATACTAAGTAGAGGCAGTTTGCTGACCTAGGTGTCTAAGATATTTTTATGTTACCATATACTAGGAAACAAAATTATTATTATTGTTAATAAGGAGTTTAGTAATAACAGTAACAGTTTTGAAACTGACAACTACGAGAAATACGGCACAATTCACTGGGTTGTTTGTAAGAAATCGCTTTCCAGTGATACCCTAAATTGAACTATTAAAATCACTTCACGTTTGAGTGGTATGCAATTAAGAATATTGTTCATGCAACCAAAATACCTACATAGTAGTCCGGTTTGCAAACCTCTAGATTAGACTAGACAAGACGGCCTACCTACCCGACCTACATTCGTATTTATGTTTCTAAACATTGTTTCAGCAAACTATGTATAACTTACTTGATTGTATTGTGTGTTTGAGCATTCTCCTGCGGGTAAAAGTGAACTACGTCGACCAGTAGCGGGTCCATTGTTAAATACTTATTATCTGAAACAAAGAGAGACTGTCAATAAACCAGGAAAATAAACCAAAAATAACTGTAGGGTTAATATAGTTGCACACTCTTTATAATTTCCTTGAATCTACATTTTAAATGTGTTCTGAGAGTATAAATTATGTGTAAATAATTCAAAATTGATTGTGAAATGTTTTTTTTATGTGCTTAGTACCCAGAAAAGCTTACTAGCTTTTACCCGCGACCTAAATGATAAGGGATGTCGTTGGGCACAATTTTACGATTCTAGGATACATTTGAAGTTAGATTTCGTATCGTTTTCTTCAAATTCATAGTTTTTGTAAGCCAGTTTTTGTAGTTTCTCACCGTTAAATTACGAACTGTCGTCCAAAACAATGCGTTAGGTTTTAAGTAGGTACGTAACTCTACATTGCGCGTGGCTCGAAATGGCAGGAATTTTGAGATTGTAAAGTAGGTTTAATCAAATAAATATTATGAATCCGTTCAAAACCATGACTGAATACAAAGATAAGAATAACTTCTGCATCAGGTGTAGCTTGCCAACAGTTCTATAAATCAGAAGATGATCGGTGATGCAATTTCTTGATAATCCGAAGGCGTATCTATCCGTCGGTTGTCTGTGCCATTTTATTACCTAATAATATACCTACTGAAAGTTATTTTTATTATCTAATAACATTCTGAAAGTTAGTTTTACAGCCGAAGCACAGGTGTATTTAAAATAATAGTTTATAGTAGTTCCACCAGGCTAAGTGCCTTTATATTATTTCTTTTTCTATAGCACTAATAATATTATTATTACGCGGTAAGCGTATTGGTATTTTTCTAAAAATTATCATCTGCAATTATTATTTGTCCAGGATGGAACGGACAGATAAATATTTTTTTTACAAATACTTTAAGGCAGATTAGTGCCGTACTAATTAAGTTTTTTTCCTTTTAAAAGCTTTTGGCAATTGATCGATCACGCATCGTGTCTGCAATTCCACATAAATAATTAACACCATTTGACACATTATACATGTAAAACGTAAAACCGCAGGACATATTATTGTCACTGTTTACATTCTAATGCACGTCGCCTTGTCAACCGCACCGCGCGCGCGCGCAACGACGCGTCATAGCTAATCTTTCATTCATCACCTAAGTGTAAAATAATTAGTGATGTGCTGTGAATGATGAATGAGGATACTTTCATTAAAACAAGTATTTTTGTCTATAACGAGCCTTACGTAGAATCGCAGACATTGTACTGCATGTGAAATCACAGTGTCAAATAAATACAACCAGACCTTTGCTCCATTCGACTTCGAATTCAAGAGATCAGACGGCCTACTCTCTCTATGTTCCTCAATGCTCAGTGCTCAATCTCAGTTGTAGATTCTGTCTAAATATTAAAATTCAAACAATCAAAGAGTTAAATATACGATGTGTGCTTGAAATATAATTAAGTTTTGAGCTTCGTTTTATTTAATATTCACTTAAAAATATTGTTATTAGCAGATTCACAAAATATTTGCAGTTCGTATCCCTGACCCGTCACTCGCGTCGGTGCAAGCGCATCTCTGAATCATCCATTGGCGCCACACCGTACAGTTCATTCAGAAATTCAGTTAATTGATTACAACTTATTATGTTATGATTACGCTAAATAATGGTGTCCGAGTTTTCTTAGTCCGCGGTAAACATTACATCAAAAAATAATATTAAAGACTTACATTTTTTTTTAAATGCAACATTTGTTTTTAGATAGCTACCTATACGTTTTTATATGAGTTACATAATTATTACTCACGGCTTGATGTTTTGGCTGTATTGTTACAGCCGTGGTCAAAAGCAGGCTTAATTTTAATTGAAATGGAAGGCGAAAAAATCTTATACACCATTAGTTTTTCAGTAAAAAATTTTCATATTATGGACTGTCACTAAATACTAACTAATTACTATTCGCTGTAGCTATAGAATGCACTATTTATACATAGTGCACTATGACGTTACTATTACATGAGTGGGTGCAGGCACGCGTCTATGATGTAAAAGCTTTACTCACTCGTGAGTAATCGATTTGTAACAATTTAGCAAAAATTGAGTTCAGAAAACTTCAAAAAATGTTTCAGCAAATACGCAGATTTACGTTGAATCACAAGCCGGACTTATCTTTTGCAAACATTTCAATGTAGCAAAAAATAATAGAGTTGTAGATTCACTGATGCCCGTTTTCACCATCAATCCCTAATTTTTAAGTGACCCCTATGAAAACAATGCCTGTTATGTGTTCCTATGGTAACACTTCACTTAAAAATAAGAGATTGATGGTGAAAACGGGCATGAAACTTTCAAAGAGGAATAACAATAAACATTTATGTATCCCACAAGCATGTTTTCATGTAAAAAATGACAGTTATAATTTATAGAATAATGTAGAGTTAAAGCTCCAGCTGAAATCTTAATATAAATAATACATACCTAAACGCTTCCATGCTGTAGTTAACTAAAGTAAAACTTAAAATGTAACTCCATGTAAGAAAATATGTGTTGATATTTTGGACGTTTATCTAACTTTGATTCGTACCTACCTTTTACTTATGTACTTTACACATTCAAGACAATAAAGAAAGCTCAACTTAGATAGTTTGTGCATGAACTTTTTAAAGTATTTACTCACTAATTTAGAAAAAAGCTATATCATTTAGCTTTAACGTTAAAAAGTGCCAAAAGAAACTTTGAATTCACAAAAAAAAGTAGTTTCGTCATGTGTGTCTTGAAAATAAAGTCGCAATAAATTATTATTTTCACACGCAGTAAAAACCGGAAAATAAAAGATAATAAAATTACCTTTAGCTAAAACTTTCACAAAACACTATCACAGCTTCCAAACTATCACACTCGCGTAATATGTATAATTGTATACAGACGTGTATACTTGTGTATATTCGTGTATATTTAGAGTTGCTCGACTGAGCAGCGCCGGCGCACTGAGGCGAGCCGCGGGCGACGCGAGTATATCTTATGAGAAGTGTGGACAGCTTAGGGTAACCATGAAATGAGAACAATCACGAATTATTTTACACGCGAAATATTTTCTGAAATAATCTTTTTTTTTTTACCTGCCGGCCTAGGACGCGCGGCGCGATAAAATGTTATCGATTATTTTAGACGACAAACATATCACACACCTACGGTGCAATAACGTCACTTATGCATTTTTTTTTTCAAAACAACTGATTATGTGAAAATACTCAAAATCTACCTCTTTACTTGGTTTACTTTGATTCAGTTAAGTTTTAAAAAAAAATGCATAAGTCACGTTATTGCACCGCAGGTGCGATATGACTTCAAGCTTATCAAATCAATAAAATGGCGGGATAAAAGTATAATATCGCGGCGCGCATCCTAGGCCTACAGATATCAAAGCATTGAAAGATGTCCCATTGTTAAGTAGTTTAAATACGCAGTAAAATAAAAACTTTGGCATAGTGCCTATTATTCTGCTATTGCCATTCTGAAGCCAAAGTAATTACAGTGACTCTCGAATTAAATTTTATACTTGTAAGAACTTCGAAATACTTATCTCAGACCTCCATTAATCTACTCGTTTTAAATTAAACAAGTCGGCTGTGGCACTTTTACACTAAAAAGTACGCAAGCAATTTAAAAGCGTGTGCGACGCCGAATCTTGTTCAAACCAACAATTTCCTCGTATTCAACTAAACCATGGTCACCCTAAACACACGGGTTATCGAATTTTATAAATACACGTAATGTGTTGTGTGTCAGTCCCAAAGTTAAGTCGAATTCTTATGACACCAATGTGTAATCAATCCATGTCAATGACATACGAAGCGTCATAGACTCGTAGTAAACATATGAGGTACTTTCCTGTTTCTATCGAAGAGCAATGCCAATGCCGAATTACTCGAACTGTTGAATATAAACGATGGGGTTTTCTAGTTAGTCATACATGCTCAATTATGCTCAATTGTATGTGATTACGAATAAGGGATCCCAGTGGTGTGGCTAAAGACACGTCTTCATTTATTTGGTTAACATGTTTCTAGGTTTTAATCCGAGTAGCTAAACTGACGTTATTAGAGCAACGAAAATCCTCTATGAACAAAAATGAGAAATGAATCGAGACTTGCATTCTAACGGTAAACAATATAATTCAATTTTCCTTTTTCTTATAATTTTCTTTGCATTGCAAAGTTTGCAAGTCTAATGACAGTTAACTTTCTCCTGGTACTAACTTAACCTTCCAGTAGATTTTGGCTAAAAAGAATAAATAGGAGTACCTATCTGGACTGAGTTTGAAAATCACTGACATTTTAATTACTTTAATATCAAAGAAACACACTAAAAAGTTGAATTTAATCAGTACCAATGACGTCGTTTTTGGGGAAAATGTTAATTTATTATATTTAATGCCATTAAACCACTGAATATAATACATTTTCATAAACAAAAACAAGCGATAAGTAATTTACGATGTTCATAAAAAAATATGAAATATTATTTTGCACTACTGAAGTTCAATGACCTTTTAACTGTTAATATTAGCATTGTTAAATCAATAATAGAGAGCATTGGAGGTTCAGATAATACTGGTACCACAGTGCTCGTACCTATTAAAAAAGTCCGCTTGAAAGAAAAGGATAGTCACGCCTCTAAACTTTTTCACGTTTACTATCTAAACAAACTTTTTGAACTGTACAATATTCTAGATACCCACACGATATCTTTTAGACAGAAATTAAGTGGTTGGATTATAGAACTAATACTTGTTATGACAAAAATAAGTAATGAACTAAAAAATAACTCCTCTCGACAATTTTAAAACCACTATAGATAAATTATATCGAGTGTAACAATATTTCTGTCAGACATCAAAAAATAAATCCGAATGAAAGTTGTTTTCAGTCAGCCTACGTTATAACTATCATGGTTAAATCTAGACCGGATTTTTGGGTCTACGCCAAGCCTGCGATCCTGGAGTCACTCGAAATGTATCATCACTAACGAGATATCATATCGTTAAATGTAGAGACACCGGTTATTCTTGAAAGACCGATTGTTAAAAATTATCCAACAAATCAACAATATTATTTCTTATGCAGCATATTTTTATGAAAGAACAGGTTGTAACTCTCTATCACAGACAGCATGACTGATATAAAAGCATTAAGTAATGGATAGAGACACAAAAATATTATATCGAGCTCGTAGTAGCTGATATCTTAAGGAAAAACACTCGCACTTTCTTTGTTTGACTTTTAACTCTTCATCCTTTTAGTATAGGTACAAGTACTACAAGTCCAAGATGAACTGCAGACCACAAATTGCAAGCCACCACGGTTTCTTTGACTTTTTCTTTTTCACTGCAGTCAACCGCAGCCACAGCCGCAGTGTCGCCTGCAGTTGCAGTCCCATCTTGGACTTATATGTGAAATTGAATGTCATAGAACGTTAGTAGGTGTGTCCGCTCTACTTGTTTTTCTACCGATTTTGAGGATTGTTCCCAAAGGTCGATGTCATCTAATTAAGGTGACAAGTTTGAAACTACAAATAGATGAAAGTGCTTTGAATGCTCTTTGATAATTTCCTGCTTTTTAAACTCATTTGCATATAAATGAATATAATTAGAACTACTTTAGAGCTTGTAATGAAAGAAAATAAAAGAAAGTTTTAGTTGAAATGTTTTTTATTTATTTTAAAATGTCTACAAGAAATTGCTTAAGAATTAAACTTAATTCAGTGACGTTTGTCTGGTTCATTTACATGTAAAAGAGTGCAATATATCTACCTAATAAATGTTAAGTTTTATTATTTTTTCTAATAAAATATTGGTTTCAATATTTTAAACACTACGTGGGAAAAAAGAACAATTAAAAGCACTATGCCATTGTTTTGAAATGACACGATCGACTTACAGTACCATAATTTAGTGATTAAATTGCCTTAGTTGGTTTTAAACCATAACAGCTGGTAAACCTTCGTAGTGGATAGGTACAGAAATATTTCTAAGTATGGGGTCTGTATGAGTGCGTCAGCAAATCTAAAAAATAACATTATGAGAGTTAGGCTGAGTTGCACCACCTTAACTTTAACTTACTTTAACCAGAGTTTTTGTATGGAGTTTGGCAGACTTTTGACGTGTGTTATAGTTAAAGTAACATGGTGCAACCCAGGCTTAATATAAAGACGAATTTAATTACACCATTTATAAAATCTTGCATATCCGCATTTGTCTTTTTTAAATAGACTTTGATATAAAGCAAAATGATAAACATTGCTTTAATGCTTTTATTTTCGTAGTAAAGGATGTTTTATTGCACTAATTGCTTCTCAAGACAAGTTACGCAAGAGAAGGAAAACATCCAAACGGGACCCGTCGCACTGGTTTTGAGAAATCGACACGTTAAAAATGGCGGAGAATTCGGCCATTGCTATCGAGTCTTGTCTCTTATGAAGGCTGATACCCATTCGTCTCGATGCGATTGAGTCATCTTTAATTATCATACTTTAAGTAGGTACTTATTGGAAGGTGAAATTATAATGTAATCTTGGGAATTATTGGTCAAGTTTTAAAGTGGTAATACCAAAAAAAGCTACAAAACTCCAGGCAGAGGCGTTCGTTGCAGTTCCACTTAATCAATGTGTTCAATACTTCAATGTCTAAATAGGTATATTTCAAATTCTTTATTAGTAGAGTGAAACACTGAAAACGTTCTAAATTAGTTTTCTCTACCAAAACTTCAGGAGTTCAGAATTATTATAACAGCTGGTGTTTTATTGTTAAAAATAAGTGATTTATAAAAAAATATTGAGGGATATTTCTGTGATAAACTGAAAGTAAATGCGAGTCCAAGGATGAAATTACTTATCGACTCTACATTTAGGCACATCTATTTAAAAGCAATAGGGCCCAATACAGATAAAACCTGAACAATTATACTGGCAGATAGATATTTTTATTACTCACGTATTTCTCAAATCACCATATATTTTAGCTATTAATAATGGACAACACGCATAAGTTGTAATATTAAGTTAAATTATGACTTAATTTAAAGTTTAGATCACACACATTACATTAGTTTTTATTTCACCTCAATCCATCCAGTATTACCGAAGATAGAGCCTCGAGAAGTTCACGGACTTTTTAAAATTTTCAAAAGGACAATGTTCGTTCTCCATACATTGTTCGCCTAAAGAACCAACAATTTTGACATATTACTACCCGAAAGCGAAATAATACGATTCTGTGTGTAAGAACAACGATTCCTGATGGACACTTGCCATAAAATTAATGATTAAGAATATTAAATCACAGCGATTTTATAATATGTCGTTTATGACAACATGGCGTCTAATGTATTGTGTGAATGTATGAACACCGATTCGCGAAAAATGTTTTGTATTGTCGTCACGCCGAGTCGCAGCCAAATAGTATAAAATAATAGAACAAGTTTTAGAAATACAACTCGGCATTCCACTTTTANATTATAAGAAATGTTTCATAATTTATGTTGTGAGAGAAATAAATAAATAAATTATTATTATGTTTGTACGCTTTGGAGCTCACGGGTCAAAAGTGGCCCGGTCCTTTATAAGGCTTGCGTGGGGATACAGATCCAACACGTAGAGGCCGTTTTAAGCGCAAAATAATCGACAAAAGTGAAAGTGGTGCACATGCTGGATCTAGCCTCTGACTATATCATGGGATGTAGCCAGAGATTATCCCCATTATTATTATTATTATTATTATTATTAATCTAAAATGCAATTTAAGTAATCTAAGTAATTAAAATAATAAATACAGTCTTTTAAGATTAAGAACTATGATGGAATACATTAATAATATGTGGGTATACGGCTAAAATCCTTTACCTCCCGTACTAGTTAAAACTGTGTTACGGCAAGGTAGTGATTCTCGCTCCATAAGTCCATACAGACAAGAACCATATTAGCGAGCGTGCGTGTTGACTCGCCCGAGAAACCGGTCGC